TTAATTAAGGTAGGTAAAAACTCTCCTAATTTGAATACTTTTAACATTAGTAGAAATTAAGCATGCGTTCCGGGCAGTTGTTTGTGAACGTGCCCTATGTTCTATTTCCTTGGAAGATAAATAAGTATCATGAAGATGTTATGGACGCAGTCTTTTACAAATGGTGGTCTATTGTTTTATCCAGTCGTCAATCAAATCACCATTATTTAAAATTCATTGCGTTAAGCACATTAAAATCAGACAAATTAGGATGGAGAAGAAGGAATTAGGTGCATTGAAAGACACTCAATCGCAGATCACATACTGCAAATGTACACAACGTTGTTTGACAACGTAAAATTTCACGGAACCGGTGATGATGGGTATTTGTCACGTCACCAACAAGATATATTCGGCATCTTACGTAAACATTCGGCGACATTCTTCCTTAGCACCAAGTGTATGTACTCACACCTGTGCTTCATCGCTACAGCAGCAACTGAAAAGGTATGTGATTAGTAAATTTATCACTAGTTGAATCACAGATGGGTGTAAACGATGTCAGCCACCTGATTTCTAAACTGCCTCTGAGGAGCTATGCATACGGTTGAAAATTGAACTTCTGGGCATATTTCGGGTATATTGTTATCAACGGTAATTAAATACCTCAATTGATGATCACAGTGTCCGACTTGGGATTTTTCTGTAGTAATTTAGAAGAAAGACTGATTCCGCAAAATCCTCGCCATTTACCTGTACGTTTCCTCAAGCTGAACAGAAAAGTGCCCTATGTAGAGAGATTTAAGCTTGTAATTTTTTCTTGTCGAGAAATGAACCAACGATTACAATGCAACGACAGTTGTAATTTTACCTCGCGCAAAACAGCATAATGAGATATATTTTTCGAGGGTTTGGCCACAGTAAGCGTAGCTCGGCAACGGTGCACTTAGAAACTCTACGATTCCTCCTCAACCACGAATCAGACCGACAACAGAAGTCAATAGCACTCAACATTTTCTCTCAAGTACTTTGAAGATGAAAAGCTAGATTTGTTGCCTGCCTTCGGCAACGGGTTGAAATTATCTACCTTACTACGTTCACTCTCACTACCCACACTCCCGTAAACATTTAACTGCTCAACTCGCATTCCAACCAAAAGATCCTCGTCCATTAATTATCCAGTGACTAACTCTAGATGCCTTTGAATTGCATTTTGAATTAATTGCTATACGACGTTAGACACATTCCTGTAATATAAATCTTAAACATATATGGCACACCCAAGAAAGATATATTTTTGTATTCCAAACTGTCCATACTCAAGCCAAATTAACTGAATAGGGAAGGAACGTGAAAATTCGGAAAAACCACGGATTTGCAAACAAATCCAAATAATAGAATCAAGTTTGTTTTAGCCACAACGTGAGTACCAAAACACAAGATTTCGGTGACCTTTGTCAAGTCAGTTTAATCGGTTTCTCGAAAACACAAGCTTTAAGGTGAAAATCGCGGCGTTCAAGGTTGACCCAAAAACGGGGTCAAGTGCGTAAGTTTCCGTGTATGTGTGGACGTGTGCGTGTGTGTGTGTATGTGTGTGTATGTTGGATTCGGATTATCATTAGCGCTTTGTGGGATCTGCACCTATTGCGTGATCTGTGTTGGTGTGTGAATCTGTGTGTGAAAAATGAAATGATCCGGAACACCTATGGATTATTAACTGTTTAAATCCAAATAATATTTAGAAACTTAGTCACCGTTAGTTTCTGCGTAGAGTTATCTTTGATACTGGTATCGATTGCTTTGAAACTATCCGAAGTAGGTAATCAATGACAGTAACAAGGTAGCAACAATAAATTGTTTATTTGAGAACCTTCCGATTACGGATAAACTTCTGTTCAGGAGACTACATTTAACCTTTTCGTGCATTCCGACTGATAATTTTAGTGAAATAACATGAAAGAAACCAGGGATTCGATAAGTGGTTGCGAAAATTATACTCATGAATCCGAGGTGCATCGCATACCGAAAAATGTAATCACATCGATGAAGCATCCAAATGTTTATGAGATCCAAGAGTCACTTGGGAGCGGAGTAGCAAAATTAGCCGAATTATCACCGACCATCTCTAATAGACCTTCACCCATCTCTGTGCGTTATATGTCAGCCTTTTCATTCGCCGCGTTCTCACTTCTGAAAATCTTATCATTGTTTATTCGATAAAATAAAATGACAAGAGATAGGAGTTACGGCACCCACCAACACCAGTGGTTTGATTTTGATGCTAGTGTTAACACCTTCCGAAACATTACTTTTCATCTGCGGTCATGATTACTAAGATAATTATTTTATTTTCTCTGAACTCCCAACCAGCGTTTTAGCGTTCCATCTCGCCGTTCATGAAAATCTTCAGGACATGCAATCTTGCAATCAGTTGACCACTCGTTTTTGATAGTACGAGCTTTTTTGCATAATGTTTCTCGGTGCGCCGGTTGATATCTACTCCGCTAAATTAAGGGACTAACTTGATGAACCCACAGAAGCCCGAAGCTACACCAAGGATTACCATGCCATCAAATCATTAACAGCGGTAAAATTCGCCAACCAAACTTCAATTACACAAACGGTACTTAAACATAATATGCTTTTCAGAAGCTGATGAAATTTTTCCAATTTTTGTACAGAACCTACGATAGATCTACCCATTAGCTTTTGTTTTCCCGTGGAGCCAATCTGCTCACTGTTGAAAGTTAACCGAAAATACTGCTTAACATTATCTGGGCAATATTTCATATATTCCATCCAGAAAATCGTCACAAAATGCACAAACCCCTTTATATATTCGCACACAGGGTTCATAACTGGTGCCCATATTATGAACAATTAAAGCCAAATATATTTTTCATCTCTTATTTAATCAAAAGATATTCTGATTTCAGAATCTGTCTACTATGCAGCATCACCTTTAATCCACTGATTATGTGTATTACACCGATAATGAAACGGGTATTATGCTGAAAAATTTGGTGACTATTTGAAGAACTTATTTGTTTCAAGGGTATTTTAACAATTATTTTGACACTAGTGATCTGACCACGTCTCTGCCACAAACACTTTTGTGACAGAACCAATTTCACTATTGGTTTTACACTTGTTCAAACCTAACAGATGAACTGCCGATCCCCCACACGCACATACTGAAACTGCATCTGGATATTAGAAGTGATAATTCTCTAATACCTACACGTATAGGAACATTATTAGGTGAGTAAATATTCAACTTGTCTAGGCAGTCGAGGTGTATAGAGAGAGAATCATGGAAAACGCGATTGTTGTGAAACTGCATAATGCAGCAAAATTTCCCGACGCAGATGGCTAACAGATTATTGTCTGAAACGAAAAAAGAAAGCTGTCACGGTCATTATATCTCGCTGTCGATCGCATTCGCCGTCAACGGATATTATCGGGATTGAAAGCACGAGGTCAAAATTCAAAACTACAGCTACTATTATTATTATTATTATTATTAATATTATGGGAGAACAAAGAAATCTGATTACCTGTATTTCTTGGTATTCTGACTACTACTGATTTGGACTGTATCGCTGCAATTGACTTGTGACTAGTTAGCTCACCCCTACGCAGGTCTGAACAAAATCCGAGCCGGTAACTGTGACTCGGCGAATGCCGCTATCGCGTTTGTGACAGATTGTATCAGTGCAGATACAAACAGCATTCACCGGGGGCATCATGGACACCATCAAACTGATTTCTTGTTTTACTTTGCATCTGGGATTTTTTCGTCTGATGAGCAACTTGGAAATATGTCGCTATAATTATCCCCATCATACGCTTTTACTTCATTATGATCTGGCATTAGGAATCGAAGTTCGATAATGAATCAGTATGTATTCCATTGTGCATATCTTAAACTGTTTTCCAAATCTTGATCAGCATTCCTTTTAATTAGGTAACGAAAGATAGTATGCTGTATAAGTCGTATGGGGGAGAAATTAGGCATAGTTTGGCACCCGGAAGTAAAACAACAAACAACGGTTGTAGCCTTTCGTGAAGTCACATTGCGTGTTTTCACTGAAAACAACATCCATTTACAATTATCTTGGGACCACCATAGGTAACCATTACGTGCTTCCAGATTTACAGAAAAAAGGGAAGGAACACGTGTATTATTGGTGGACAAAGACAACTTTTTACTAGGTCAAAAAGAAATCCATGTCCCAGTTTATACGACTTTGACAACAATGGGTAGGTGGTCGGCACCGACATATGGTAAACGGGCTAGGCTGCCACATTCTGGAAGGCATCTCGCAGCTAATAAGAGCTAGTTGGATTAAATTAGTAGGACTAAACGATTTACCCAACTGAGTGTCGAACTCAAAGGTAGATGCCCACTTGAACTCTAAGTGAGCAACTGAGATGTTGCGCATAATCTGCGCACAACAGTTGAAAACTCACCTTTGTAAGCTTTATGTTAGCTATCAGTTTATCATTTAACAAATAACGCATTTGCAGAACCTTACCTTTGTGGAAAATCCGTAATTTAATTAACCCTATATATTGGAGGTAGAAAATATAGTAAACATTGAGCATTAATTATCGGCATTATTTGCTAGCACGTCTATCCGTTACATTTCTTCTGCTGAGGTGGATAACAAATGCTGCGTCCAAGGAGAACTTCCTCTCAAATTTGAGCTTTTTGCTGGAAAAGATTTCGGATAATCACTAAGCACAACCATGTGTCATACAGTAGAGTTAGTAATGTCTCTTAAATTGCCACTCAAGGATAGTTCAAAGATATTCTATTGTTTAACATTTATTCGGAAAATGCTTTCTTCAAAGCCAGATTTTCTTGAATTCATGAAACTGTTCACTCTCATTTCTACGTCTTGGACTAATGATCGCTGAAACACTCGGAATGCATCTCATTCATGTATGCCTAAAACCCCTTTTTCTCCTCTGAATGTGATTTACTTTATATTTCCGTTCTAGCGACTCACGGAAACATGGTTGCGTTTGATGATAACGGAGATGGAAACGGCCAGTATTCCATCTATAACTACGCACGTGATCCTTACACCGGTCATTATGATTACCGATTGGTGGGCGATTACCAGGGTGGCAAGCTGACCATGCGAGCTCGACCGATTTGGCCAGGTGGTCAGTCCAGCCGACTGCCTGTCAGTCAGTGCTCCGAGGAATGTGGGTAAGTTGACAGGATGTACGTTTCGTTAGTTTAGTTCATGTCCTCATAAAAGACAATACATAATGTTTAATTTTAAACAAGTTTCCTAAAGCTAGCCCAAATCAATCAAAAACTACGGGGGATAATTTTTGTCAAGTTAATGCTTCACTATTTTCATCAATTTGCATTCGGTTTGAACTGATGGATAAGACTAAGAGTTCGATTTATTTCGTAAATTAGGTAGGCTAATCTCTATTACTCAGTTAAATTATACCATAAACGTAATTGCAACCACAAGGAGGATACTTTTCATGAGCATGTTCTGTTGGTTGATTGAATACTTAGTAATTCCAAATACATTTAGATGAATGCTAAGCAAAGGTCGGAAAACTCGCCTCAAGTGGAGCACTCAGTATTCTTAAAAATATTTCGCTTTTATTAAAACGACGAGATCAGTTTGTGTTTTTCGAATCACTCCTATGGACGACTGATTTATATATTGGACACATAACCTTTTATCCACCACTTAGCATCATTGGGCTTCTGAGGTGACTAATACCAGCAATTGGTTAAGGCCATACAAAAGGTGTTAGATAAACATGCGTGTTTGATCCCGACCTAAATTATAGGAAAAACAGTGTTGCGGTGAAAGTGGAATCGTGCATCTTTACTATAAAATTCGTTCATCAACTGCGTGTTCTCGCACTCCTTTTATTCTTTTCTTTAGCTATCTTCAATATTCTTTTGCCTTCATCGACTGAATACGTTTTCCTTTCCTCTTCGCTTGCCAGTGTGTTAGTATAGCAGGCGGTGTGCGAAGTGCTTTACAATGCGAATGGGAACATCCATGTAACCATAAACTGATGCCGACTTCTTTTCGCACCATGCCACATTTCAGATTTGCCGAGATTCGTCGTCTGGATAAAAAGCAACAATGCTGCTGGTCATGTGAGGCGTGTGGAGCTGATCAGCGCGTGGTGAATTTGACCCATTGTGAAACATGCGCTTTTCAACACTGGCCTTCGGCGAATCGGACCACCTGTGAGCTACTCGAGGTATGTCTCAGTTTGGGTCCCATTTGCTTGATGTGCGTTTGCCGGGCACCTGTGTTGGGTCAGTAAAAGATCACTATTGGTGCGCACTGTATTTTCAACCTTAGTCCTATACAGATCACAGGACTAAGGAAATTTATTACTATTTTATCCCTTCAGAACAGACATTCGTACATTTTACTGAAATAGACAGAATATCGGGCATGATTGCCTTGGACGTTTTTCAAGGTTTACTCATCGGCTGGTAAAGCAAGTTGATGTTTGAACAAAAACACAACACTGCAGGCAAGCACGATTTAATTCCGAAATCATTTCAGTGCATCTCATCTTGTGCTTATTCCAGAAACAAAACGCTTTATACATCACAGGGCAGCACAATCTAACATAGTATCAGTTCAGTTTACCGCTTACATGGTCACCAGGGCAATGCCAGATTGGTGAAGACCTCCTTCTGCTGACACACTCAATTCCCTTACAAAAGTGATGATATAGGCCAACTCATACACAACCAGAAGCGGACAGCTGCTATGATTTGCAGAGGCCATAGCAATCGAGCGCCGGATGCCCCTGCTGTGTCAGCAGAAGGAGGTCTACATCAATCTGACACTATCCTAATGACCATGTACGTGGAAGAATGATTCATAATCCTTTTATTAATACAGCAGGACCAAATGATATTAGGAGTTTGAATATTCCCATAATAGCATTGAGAAAACGAGTCGGTGAGCGAACAATTGTTTTCGGATATTCCTAGTCTTGCTCTTACATATCATATGGTGGAAAAAAATCTTACATAATCACAGCCATTGGCTCATTTTAAAGTCAATATTCGGAGGTAGAGAGTAATGAGAGTGTGTATGTGTTTGCGTGTGTGTGTGTGTATTTGTGTGTAGGAATGTTTAACGTGCTAGTTGATGTGACCTTTCCTCACTTGGGTCAAGTGACACGTCATGTTCCGTCTTGGTTTTCACACACGGCCAAGGCAATTGGAGCTCCTGCACCAATCGCTTTTGGGCACACAGGTCGGGGCCCCGACCTATGATATTAGGAGTGTATTAACAAATCGATGTGCCATGTGTTGTTTCGTTGTGCATGTTATAATGTTAAGATCACAGCGATATCGGGGGAGATTTGTATTCGCTGACGTTTTGGTTACCGTGGGTAACCTTTCTCAAGGCAGGTTTTACGATAAAATGTCCTACCTGTGCTGATCATATACCTCGAGACAAAAGTATTGTGACCTCCCGCTACCCTAAAGTTTTGGATTATCTCCACTAGCGTATGCACGAACATTTTTAGAATCCAGAGGGCAACCGAATGATACGAAATTTTATCAAATTGTTTTCACACCTAAAGAAAACATATTAAAAAGTCGAATTTTCACTGCGACAAAGTATTGCACCCCCTCCCGTGGACGTCACACCCAGAACTTGGGTTTAAAATGGGTGCGATATATATCTCCAGTGTGTACCTCGTCCTGGCAACTGGCAACTGTAATGAGTCAGTGGTTGACGGACAGTCGTTTTTGCGTCATCCCTAATGACCTCGAAAGAACAAAGCTAACCCAATAGGTCACTACAAGATATTGCCAACCATTATGCATAAAACGAGAAATCCAGAATTTTCGCCTTCCGTGAGATCAAACCAGTACACATAAGATAGTCAGATGGCTTAATAGGTTCTGATCACACTGTGACACAATATTTGAAACGGGAACAGCCAAAAACAAGGCTGATTGAATGTCAGAATAAGCTCTTTCTGAAGGGTACGAGCATATCGCTAAGTATGGCCTCAAACTCCGTGAATCATGCATTGATCAGTCAAACGACGCTTGAATGGAACGTTTCCGTGTGAATGGTACAGTGAACACTTGAAGAGGAGGAAATACATGAAGATGAAAATGTGCATATCCTTAGCATCACCTTGACAAAAAGAACTGAAACTTGCGTAAACGCGTAAATGCGTAAACTTGCGAAAAACGAATAGAATTTCGTCTGTATTGGCGAAGAAGAGAAAATCAATTTTGATGGACTGGACGCGTAGAACTACGAAGGGACATAGTCTTTTCGATCTGGCTACCTGTTTATAAATAGTCTTTTTTCCTCAACTGTTTTGAGACCATGAGTACAAGCGGATTAATGCGAGACGCTTATTCTGTAAAATGGTGATTCTATTTCATCCCTCTTTATGGTGAAGGGCAGAGGAAAGAAACACTTTATATTTCTATTCGCGATTGCTAGTAAGTAAATAAGCAGGTAGGGAAAGAAGTATTTGAGTAATCAATGGCAGTGGGTTGAAAACGTGATAATCTAGCGCTCATGGTCAACAAGAAAGTTCCTTCCAATACTTTAATTTCTATGACGAAAATAGATGCCATCTCATGAGGGATTTCAAAGCCTAAGTGATCTGAGGTTTCCCCATAAAATCAAGACAACAACCAGAAAATCATTCTTTACTTGACCTTGAAAGGGACCGATTTGATCTTCTGTTTGAGCGAATCTTTGTTGTCTCCCAGGTTCTCACCGTCAAGAGCAGATACACAAAGGCCAGAATGGTTCGCCCGTGCAATCCGTTGGTTACACCCTCCCATTACTGTTCAGACAAGCTAGTGTTAAGACCATAGTGGTCATTGTTTCATAGGCTAGCTATCACATTTCTTTGAAAAGATAGACGGACAAATAATTTCTTCTTCTGAGTCTCTTCACCCTGTTCGAATGGTGCCCTTTCCTGAAAGTTTCCTTCGAAATAACCGTTTTCTCTGAGAACGTCCCTAAATTTTGTTACTTATCCATTTAACAATTTGTCAGAGCAGATCTTGTACGCTCGTGATGTGGGACTCTGATTCTTAACGAGGTTGTGAAAGTTTGCGTACTGCACAGACCAAGATTGATTTCTGTGCATTTAACGCTCTAATAAACCCTCATCTCTTTTCGGGAAAGTACCAAGTCTAAGAAGGTGAATTTGTCGTTTTCTTCTGTTTCCAAAGTGAACTGAATCGATCCATGAGCTTCATTGAATGTTTGGAGCACCCTTGTCGATTTTCTACCTTCCGGGGTGAGACTGAATATTTCGTTCACGTAGAGGCAGTGCAGACTCATTTGCTCAGTATCTTCCTTCAACGTCCTATTTTCTAATTTGG